CGTTGTTTGATGAACACGAACAAACACAGGACGATACCAAGAACCTCCTTCACAAGATAGACAGGCGGCACAAGTTCAGCCTCCATCAAGAAAGACGATAGGGGAAGGGACATGAACCTACCTTGTTTATAAATTTTAACTTAAATAACAAAGTTTTAAAAACTTTAATATATCACGAAAGCTGCTGTAGTTGTGGAAAAGTTGGATTTTGTATATATTGTGCATTACAAACATTTTATGTATATGTATTTTAACACTCAAAACACCCATTGTGATAGTAGTTTCCAAAAAAGTATCGATGTTCCCTCTGATGATGGTCTATAAGGACCGAAACATGTAAGGGCGTTGAGTTTTCAAGTAGTAGAAACTCCAATAGTCACACTGGACGGAGTTGTTTTATCTTTGTAATTTGTTAGTGTGACGGACCAGGATGAAACTAATCAAATTTACCAAATAATAGATTATTATAGATACGTTGACTATAAATTAATCATTTATAATTCCCATGTAATTAACATTGAAAATACTCTGTATGAATTCAAAAATATCCACCCTAATATCAAGTTCACAATGGAAAAAGAAATAAATAATAAGATCAGTTTCTTAGATTTATCCATCGAGAAAACACACGAAAACCTACAACTACTGATCTAATCATTCACAATGATTCAAGTCACCCATTTGAACACAAAAAGCTGCTATAAACTTTCTCATTAATCGATTGAATCAATATCCCTTTTCGCATAACAATAAAAACATAGAAGAGAACATTGTTAGAACTATATTAAATAATAATAACTGCCCATACAACACAAAAATCCTCCACAAAAAATACTACGCACAAAAAAATTTGACCACCTTTACCTATTTCGGCCATGAAATCAGATCTATTACTAAACTTTTCAAGAATACTGAGGTTGGTATCTCATATAAGACAAAAAACAATATAAAATATCTGTTGAAAATAAATGATGACAGAAATGATAAGTATAATCTTAGTGGGGTTTACCAACTGCAATGTACTGACTGTCTATTAAAATATGTAGGACAGACCTGACGTACCTTTAAGGTCAGATGCAGAGAACACATACGAGACATAAAGAATATCGGACAAAGTTCCAGATTTGTTCAACATATATTGGACAACACACATGAATATAGTACGACAGACAAAACTTTAGAAGTTCTATATATCGGCAAGAAAGGCCGAACTTTGGATACATATGAAAGATTTCACATTTACGAAATCAGCAAACTAAATTTGCAACTGAATGATAATTTTACAGAAATGTTTAACCCTATATATGATGTAATCATTGATACATACAAAACATAATATACAGCCATACACCATACACCACCACTTCCACATACACCTTATTTCTACCTCCCCCTCCCTCCCTTGCATCGACTTTTAACATACATCACCAAATCAGTCGTTGTTTACATTCCCTACAAACGGACAATACTTTGTGTGATGAGGCACCGTCTAAACAGTAAGTAATATACACTATATCTTCAATATCAAAATCAAGTGTTGATTACAACAAAATGTAATACTATTACTTCCACATTATTTTCAGATTAACATTAATATTACTATATCTACATCACGAGCCTCCAATAATAATTTATTATACATACACAAAATATAGAATACTCCAATTTGTCCGTGGGAACACAACAAAATCACAAAAACCAACGTCTGACTCCATGATGTAAAGTATCACTCGAAGAATTTTATTCTTGTTTTATACTATAACGTTTGTTTTATATAAGCTAATATATTGTACGTATTTTTACGCCAAGTATTTTAATATAATTAATATTATTGTATCCACTTTTATTAGTACTGCAGTTCAGTGGTGTATATATGTTTAGCCATGTATTTGCCTGATGATGGCTTTTAATAGCCGAAACATGTAACAGAACGAAACTAGGCACTGACCTTGATGTAGTTATGTTCTGACGGTTTTGATAAAGAAATTGAAACTTTTATAATGTGACTAATTACCCTACATATACACACTGTCACGTTTAGGGATTGTCGCCTCACTTACAGACGGTGCTTTGGATTGAATGATTGGATTTATTGACACATTATTCACAAAACTCGGGACTACAGACAATTACAGTTCTATCACCGATCTACACACTTCACAGTTCATTAAACGCGCTCTAGGTTCTCAGTCTTCACTAGTCGTATCCTGGCAACGGATTTATAAAGTCTCACTGTCACTTCAAATCACACATGAAGTTCTCTTTGCACAGCCTAATTCCTGCCTTTCCATTTCTTCTTAATCACCTGTGACTGCCATCTCTATAACTCGGCCCAGTTCTTGACAACAACTCACTCAAATGAACTCTCAACTTCTGACAACTGACTCTTCTCAACTGAACCCTTTATATAACCACTTCACAAAGGAAACGCAGAAAAAAACAGCCTCTGTCGTTATGAGGTGTGTTTACTGATCCGTTGCCTTACAATGGACGTCCTATTGCGCGCATTTGCTTCCGCAAGTATGTGTTTCCTGGGTCGTTGTCTGGCAACGGGTCTATACGACACAATACCAGCTGAGCGGTAACACTCTAAACTTGTTTCCGGGAGTGGTAGACGAGACATCGGCTGTTTCGACTGAGGTGTTCCGTGATTTCTGTCAGTTCCTCCAGGCAGATGTTAGGAGAGTGTCTCAATTAGGTCATAACTGTTACGTTCAAAATCATTTCCAATTCATTCGTCAACATCCTAAGATCCGACACCATATAAACTCGATACAGAGTCGTTGAATAGCCCCACATATCCCGTCTGTCTCGTCTTTTAGAAACTATACGCATTCCCAAAAGTTTCTCACAATAAGCAGCTACTGCTTCCCTACACAGCACCGACCTACTGCTTCCCTACACAGCACTGACCTACTGCAGACGAGTGTATTTTCTGTGAGTTAGGAGTTGCGTTCCCACATACTATATACAACTTCCAACATTCTAGCATTTTCTTTNATGCCGGCGTTCGCCCTTCTCCGCCGGCCGCTGCTCGTTTCCCGACGGTTGGTCCTTTCTCCAGTTTGTTTCCCTGTTGTCTCTGGGTCGCCAGTCTCCACTTCCCTCCCAACAATAAAACGTCTTGAACGTATCCAGAGACTTTCCCTTCCACCTGCTCCCTCTCTGTCTTCCGGCTTCAAGAGTTAATATCTAAATCCCCACGTATATTCAGTTCGGAATCATGTGCATTGCACTGCACTTGTCATGTTTCGGTTATCTGTTGGCGTCGCATCCTTCTCGGAGTCTCCTGCAAATCGTCACTGATGCATGTTTCGGTGGAACCATACTGCCTGACAGATGCCGATAGATTCACGATAGCAGGCACCCTGCCGGGATTCTAAACAAGGACCTCGCGATTAAGTACTAGAAATGTTAACGACGAAATCTCGACTAACTCCCACTGAAGAGATTTTAATTTGAATTACCACTAGCTTCTTAACGTGTGGCCCAAGTAAACTTCAGAATGTTACTGCCATGCTCACAGCTATGTTAGTGCAGCAGAAATTATGTATTTGTAAAAACGAAACCCACAGCCCGACGTTCTCAAAACTGAAGCACAGGCATAAACTATTATCAATAAAGCCGAAAGACGTTGGAGGCAAATTGTGACGTCAGCTTTTGCAGACAACCCCGTGAGGCTGAGAGCTGCAACCTGCAATTATTCTCCTTCTCGATGTTATTCTTCGGTCTATTTCTTATCTAAATAAAGAGCAGGACGATGGATGGGAGCCGGGATAGCTCAGTCGGTACAGCGACTGGCTACGGGCTGGACGACTGAAGGCTCGGAATTTCGAGTCCCGGTAGGGTCTAGAATTTTCTCCTCTCCAAGTCGTCCATACCGAATCGGGGGCCCACTCAACCTCCTACCAATTGGTACAGGGGGCTCTTTCCCCGGGGGTAAAGCGGGAGGGCCGTGACGCTCACCACTCACCTACAACTAGTGCCCAGGTAAAGAAACTATGGATCTATACATCCACTCCCCCATACACCTTAATGACGTAGTGCTTACTTAGTTAAGCACAGTCACGACTTTACCTTTTTTACAGGACGATGGATAATTTCCAGAAACACTATAACTGTATAATGTCACAAACTTTCAGTGCTCTAACATGGCGCAAAATAGGCATGTCACGAAAGACGAATGGTTATGTCTGCTCGTGTGAAGAGTAAACACGTCATGTAAATAGACGGAAGCTGACGAACACAGAATGCGTCTAAGTTCTTGGGAATGACAGTAATCTACATGTTACTACCATCTTCCAACACTTGGCGCCTCGACCTGGTCTACAAAATAGTAAAACAAGAAGTTCTGGGAACAGCTAAACGCCTACTTTCCTGTCACTACATACTCAGCACAGAAAACACGGTGTCCAACAGTCATTCAGTTGTTACGTGCGTACTTGTTGCCGCGGAAAGACTCTACCGAGCCGTTGCCTAACAACGTCAAGAGGAACACACAGACAGAAGGTAATCTCTTATGCCTCCTTTTATTTTTTTCCAAAATAGGGTGTATACTCTAAGAAAGCTACATCGCAGAAAACATACTTCATCTTAATTAGAAAGACCATCCGGTTAATGCTGTTCAGGGAAATAGTTGGTAGGGGCTGGGCAAAGCGCTTTGCGACCCAGGACTCCAGGTTAGACTCCCAGCAGGGACAAGAGGTTCCGCGTTTCACCCAGCATCCTCTCCACGTGGCACCGAACGCATTTACCCAAAGAATAAAGCGGCCTGGACGTTTAGATGATCACTCACCTACAAGTACATTAATTAACGATATCACGAACATCTGGAACTATACCTCCAATCCGCCACATATCCTAATAATGTAAATACAGACACATTATGAGAATCATACTAAACACATAAATAAACTTGCACTTATAACGGAGAACCCTTTCCATTGTCAGAGTATGTGGTATATAAATTGATTAAAAAGATACAGGAGTATAACACTTACCGGTCACTTGGCACGGCGCTCTTCTTGTTAACGAAGATGCAGAGAATGCTGAAACAGATCAATAGGTAATATTATGACATGAAAACATTGTTTCGTGCATAAATACATGTAGTATTAAAAATCACTTAAAATGAATAGGTTCTGGATCAGAGGACTGGATGATTGCACTTAGCTGGCTCAAGATCTGACGCGGTGTCCAGCTTCCTAAATACAGTAATATTTATAAGGCACACGAAATGTATAGAAAAGTATGCAGTCTACACAACAATATTCTGTATTTAGAACAAAGTAGACACTATCGTATCAACATATGTTTTTATTAACGCAACATACGTGTATTTCGATCCTTATCCTGTGTCATCATAAGGCGTACAATGATACCAGACTCAGTTACTGAATTGTATCTAACAAACTGCGTCAAATTCTTCAATAAGGCGTAGTTGATTGAGGCACTATGCTACAAGCAGGAAGGTTGTGGGTTCGATTCCTGATGAGGTCACTGGATTTTTCATTTGATCTAATCCTTCCAGCCACACTATGGCCCTGGGGTCGACTCAGCCTCTAACAGAAATGAGTATCAGGAATCTTATTAGGGGTAAAGGGTTGCCGGCTCGTAAGGCTGACAACATCTCCGCCATCTGTGAGCCGATTGTCTAGACAATGTGGAAACCTCGACGTCTCACAACCCTATGGGCCTTCACGGCATGTTACAGGGATAGCTTTACCTATATATATATATAGCACAAAGATTTAAGGCCGATTATAGTGGCCACTCGGTCCATGGCATGTACTGTCTTCGACCGCACAACCACTGATATCTTGGGTTTGAATCCCATCACAGGCATGGAGATATGCCTGTGTCTTATAGGTATATGTTTCTCTGTGTAGGTAGAGGCCTTCAAACAGGCCGATCTCCCGTGCAGAGACTCCTAACAACTGTGCAAAAGATCCATAGTCTCAGAAGCTGACTACTGACTGGAACAGGCCAAGCGGCCTAATCCAGAAAGAAAGCGGAAGTAGACTGATCGGTGAATGATGAATTGGAAAGGAAGTGAAGAAATCGTGAAGGCCTAATTTGAAGTAATGTCCTCGCAATTCCTGCAGGGGCTGAGGAAACTCCGGAAGAATTAAGTTAAAAGACCGAGACGTGAACCTGTGACCTCCCGAAAAGGGAGCTGGAATTCCTCCAGTGAGAATCAGATACTTACGGATTCTTTCCTCTGGTGCTTTTAACGACACTTAGTCTATATATTATCCAATGGCAGAGTCGCTAAGTAACGGACTAACAGAGGTATTATACAGAAACTTGCCTGGAGGAACCATGGAAATCATGAACGCATCAGTAAGGATAGCCAGTGTCTCGCCCGAAATTTGAACAGAGAACCTCTCGGAGGAAAGTGTAGTGTATTATCCCTTGGTGGATTTTAATATGTATTTAAATATGGGAATGTGTGCACAATAGCAGTACATAGAATAATTATAACACAGGGCCGAACAAAACTTTAAAACTGCACGGTAACTCTGTGCACACGTGATTCTCAAACCCCTCTCAGCCTTAAATATCTGTACTGCCTTAGTGTTTCTATGTACCTCACAGAAAGAGTTGCTGTGTACTGTGTACTGTGAAAATCAGGCCGAGATATTAAACAAAATGTAACTCTTTGCATGCAATGAAACGAACAAATTGGCTCGGGATACTGCATCAGGACCAACACAGCCAAAGATATCGTTTCGTTGTTAGTCAACTGACACAACATTTCCGTCTATAGATGGTACCTAGTGCTATGAACCGATGTTTAAGCGAGTGAACCCTCTTTCACTCGATATATATCTGCTGCTATTTGAAGGTCATTTCAAAAAGTATTGTTGTATAGTCTGAACACTTTCATTAACCTGTACGCACACCTGATGCTTCTAATGGCGGACAAGGGTTAAATAAAACAGACTTATTCAAATATAATTCGTACATTAATATCCAAAATATAAAATATATTTCTCTGTGAAGAAAGAACTCAACTGAATAAATGTTTCCACACATGTACTTAGTCATGTTCTACAGAATTTACATGAGTGGAGCCATTCAGCCAAAAGTGTGCGGACAGTCATGCCATTAAACACGTAATCTTATTGGTCTAAGCTCAAAAACTCTACCGTTAAAACATAATGGAGTCAGTCCTAAATCTTATAAAAGTAGGCAGTAATTGTAGCATGTAGAGCTGTTGCTAAGTAATGACTCTGTAAACAACGGCCATTGCTAGGTAATCTCTGCTCGCGCCAATGTAGTCATTGGGAAAGGGCGTTCTCTACGCGGTCCGTGCGACAACCACGTGCCGCAACCATAGAACTGTTGGTAAAGATATTTTCTATGAGGTCCGTGACCAGATGTTGCAAGCAGGATAAGTCCAGAGTTTAATTACAGAGCACCCGTGTGGAGACGGGGTCGAATACCTCCACCGTGACCCTGCGAGTCGTAGGAGGCGACGAAAAGGAAAGTCTCAAATCTGAGACAGTAAAATATGGTCGCGAGTCCCAAGGGACTTGGACCTGAGAAAGACTTCGCTGGCAATAGCCAGCAACATATACAAAAGACAGGCCCTTTCTCTCGTCAGAGAGGGCGCCCCACATCAAAAAACCCGCAACTGTCTGACAGAAACAAAAATCTGGTCTTAAGTTCAAAATTAGTGCTCGATGCCAAGAGGGAATGACCGACTGACCGTCGTTCGTAACATAACTTTAAGTTTACTTGCTTGTGAGAGCGTCGCCGACCAGTAAGAGCGTGCACACGGAAGCTGAGGAAGTCATGGTGTTGGAAGCCGTAATCAGGCGATAACCGGTGAGGCGTGCACACGGAAGCTGAGGAAGTCATGGTGTTGGAAGCCGTAATCAGGCGATAACCGGTGAGGCGTGCACACGGAAGCTGAGGAAGTCATGGTGTTGGAAGCCGTAATCAGGCGATAACCGGTGAGGATACAGCAGACTGAGAAGACTTAGTGCGTCCTATAGTGAACTGCAGAGTGTGTGAATTGGCGATAGCGCTACAGTTTCTTGCAGTTACGATCTGTAAGTCGATTAGCAATCCAAAACCCATCTACAGTCATCAATATGATGATCTTTATTTTTCACTGCCTGAATTATACAATTATGCCAGCTCCTCCAGTCATAGGGTCCATATTCTAGTGGTTATATTGACTGAACTCTCCCGGGTTCTCTCATAATTTGAAACGCTTCTCACAACTCTTTCCATCTTCTGCTATAAATAAACAGAGCCTCAGTATCGGGCACGAATTTAGAAATGGTAGGAAATATGACTGCATGCAAATCTCCTCTTGTGGGTCCATTTGGTAGCCCGTACGGTCTATTCAATCGAATTTGAATGTATAATGAACGCATTTCGCCAACTCGAAACTCAGCTGAAGTGCCATATATATTATATAAAACTTGCAAATGAAGGCAGGGAGAGCAAAAAGGGCCTAAGTGCCATCTGAAAAAAAAATTAACAACATTCCGGTTGTTTCGCTTAGACTCACTTTCAAAATTCATATAAAAACACAGTGATGGACTTGTATGTACACGACGTTATTCGGGTTGTAAGGTCGTGGAGCTCGGTGGAAGTCCACCGACGTTTCGGTTGAACATATCACCTCAGTATTCATAGTCGAAGAATAGGTCAGGCAAGATGTACACGCACACATCCGGGAACTGCCGATGTAACCCTCCCTGTAGTGGATAGTTATGCTACACATGAGGATCTCACAGAAGTCGCCTTGTTGTTTTCTTGCTTGGCGCCTTACTCTTCGACTCTGAACATGGAGGCGATATGTTCAACCAAAATATCTGTGGACTTCCACTGAGCTACATGGCGTCACGTCCTAGAATATTGTGCTCATCATAGTTGCCGACGTGAAACGTCAATTGCTATAATTATTAGTGCTTAAATCCTTGCAAATTTATTGTTGTTATTATTATTATTATTATTATTATTATTTCAGTTCTTCGTATTGAAATATGTAGATCCGTTGTTAATTAATGGCTCTGTAAGCAGCGGCCGTTGCTACATAATGGCCGAGAAGAGCAACAGAGGGCTGGTGTTCTCTATGCGGTTCGAGCGATAGCCACGTGATGCAACAATAGAAGAACTGTTCGTAGAGGTGTTTCCTATGCTGTCCGCGCGGAGGATACATAAGGAATTAGTTGAGCGACATTCCTAGGACATCACCCATCCACCCATCCGCCGGTAACCACAGAATAAACAGTTGGGAGTTCAGCAATTGGAAACCAGTTAGTTCAGCTCTGGGGCTTCAGTGAGATAGGCGACAGCCAGCGAGGACGTGAAACCGTGAACACAGAAGTTGTGGAATCTAAACTGTTGGAAGCCGTTACCACACAACGACTGGGAAAGACACAACAGACTGAGAAGAATTAGTGCGTGTGTGTGTAGTGAACTGCAGAGTGTGTGGATTAGTGTTAGTGCTATAGTTACTTATAGTTATATTTTGTAAGTATTCAATTACCAATCCAAACCCTGTTTACAGTCACTCTAAATAAAATCGTCATAATATTCAAATATTAATCGTACGCAGTAATAATGTATTTATAGATAGCGCAGTCGGTATAGCGACTGGCTACGGGATGGACGACCGAGGGGCCGGAGTTCGAGTCCCGGTAGAGTCAAGAATTTTCTCTTCTCCACGTCGTCCAGACCGGCTCTGGGGCCCACTCAGTCTCCTGTCGAATTGGTACCGGGAGCTCTTTCCCAGGGGTAAAACGGGAGGGGCGTAAAGCTGACCTCTCACATCCAGCTAGTGCCGAGGTCAAGAAAACGTGGATCTATACATCTGTTCCCCGTACGCCTTCACGGCGTAGTGCTTAATTAGTTAAGCACAGGAACAATTTCACCTTTTTAACCATTTTTTTACTTCCACGCATAATGGCTGGTGCCACTGAGCTTCCGAATTTTTATTATTTCCCAAGCTGCCTCTGTTTGTCCTTGTCTGTGTGTACGTGTTTGTTTGATTCCATCTATGCTCTTGCTTGTTTTATAACCGGTT